CCGGTACTGAAAAAAAAAAGAAAACGGCTGGGGACAGGAGAGACCAGAGGGAAGCCGACCTGTAATTTTGCCCGAGAGCAATTATGAATATGGCCAGCCCATCTGTAACCAAGATGTGTGTCCAGGGCCGTAGACACAACCAGCTTCAGAAACAAAGGGGGAAAAGGAGTAAAAATACAGCTTTATTGTTGTGCTCAGCTGAGAAGAATGGTGGAGACACGGGTGCAAATGTGAGACAGAAACTGAGAAGGTGTTGGGAAAGGCCCTTCAGAATTCATTCAGAATTCATTGCTTTTACTGTGCCAGGTGAAACTTCTGGAGTCCAGAATTGAAGCTGCAGGATTTTCAAAAGCCACCTCCATTACCCACATTCTTCACTTTCCAAAGCTTTGAGATTGACAGTTATTCATGAGTTAGTAAAAAGTATTGAGTCCCCTGGTATTGCCATCTCATCTGATCCCTGAAGAGGGATGACAACGTCATGTTTTCAGGAGCCTGCGGGAAACCAGTCCATGGGATTGTCTCAGGGGAAGGAGGTTGATGGAAATGCCTGGAAGGGGAGGAGCAAGAGGCAGCTGGGGAGGAATGGAGTTGTTTGGTGGCCCCCTTCCTGGCAGCACCCAAAGAGCTTGCTAGAAGGTACACCTGGGACAGCCTCCCTGCCGCCCCCTGGCTCCTAAAGATCCTGATATCCTGTTTGGCACCAGTGCTGGCCCAAGAGCAAGGAGAGTGTGTTACAGAGTGGTTTTGGAGTCTGGGTGATGTTAGGAGATGAGCGAGGTGCAAATCCCTCTTGCCTATGGGACTGACGTCCTTTCCTTTCTACGACAGCACCATCTGCCACCAAGATGTGTATCCTGGGCTACTGCTGGCAGAAGAGCACCTTTGCGCAAGTGGACCAAGTCATGCACAGAGGCTCATAATGGCCTCTTCCACAGCACAGGAGCAGTCCCTACCCAGACCCCCCAAAGCGGTAGGCATGACCCCCTCCCAACTCCCACCACCTGAACCCTTGTGTGACCCGCCTGCTACTCTGACGTGTGGGAGCAAGGAGTCAGATTAATTATGTTGAGAGGAGTTTTACATTTTTTAAAGTACAGAAAACATAAAATAAGGCTGGGGAGCTAATTCTACACTAGAGCATGTGCTTAGCACGGTGAGCCCCTGGGTTCAGTTTCCAGGCATCAAATAAACAGAGCGCTGTTTCTCATAGCCGGAGTGCAGAATAAATCCGCTGCCCTCCATCCAGCACACGGACTTGCACGAGCCCCGCTTGTTGGGGGCTGCAGATATCACCCAGCATTTCGGTTCCCTAGGTCCTGCCGTTCTCCATGTCCTTCCTGAGCCTGGGCTCTGCTCGGCCTTTCTTGGCTGCCTCTCCTTATGGAGTTAAAGGCTTTCCCAGGATCCCCGGCAGGTGCAATAACTCCAGTTCACCGCGCCCGTCACGTTTAATTGAGTTATCTGTGAGAGTTGCAGGCCGCTGCGACACGCACACACATTCATCAAGATTTCATGGCTTCCTAGTCACCAGAGTGATGCCCCAGGGAAGCAGGCGGGTGCAGAGAAACCTTCCGCAGCATATGAGCTTGCAGGGGAGAACCAGCCAGGTGGGGAGGCCGAGGGGCAGGGCAGGCAGTGGCTCAGGGGAGCCCAGAAAGCTCCCCCAGGTGATTCCCTGGGGCCTGAGGGCACAGTGGAGCCTGCCCTGCTCCCACAAAGGGATGGACAGATGGAAAACTCAGCCCTCTGAGACCTCCCACCCCTTCCCTTAGCTAACTTCACATGGCAGTAGGGACAGCCACAAACCAACCTAAGGTGACACTTGAAGATTGTTCTTAAAACATAATTTGACCTCCCAGTTATGGAAGTATGCAATACTTTATAGGAAGTGTGAAAAATATAGAAAATCCACACAGAAGAAAATTGAAGAGTCACTTGAAAAGAAAGCACCCTGTCTATGCTTATGCATCTAGTGCTCTATTTTATCAAGTTCAGGTTCAGGCCAATGTAGCCAATCTTTCCCAGCCTAAATTCCAAAGGGAAGGTTCATTTGTAAACATTCCTGAAAGTATACAGAGCAAAGCAAACACTCATATATCTGCCACTTGGATTGTGTCTGCAGACTTTTTAAGTTTTTTAATGTTTCAGTCAGAAATAATTCCGGTGTGCATTTCTCAAGGATAAGGATATTCTCTTATTCCAACTGAGCACAGCTGCAGCTTCTCAAATTCACCTTAATCTGCCATCCATTCTGCAACGCTGATTACCTAATGAAGTCTCTGGATCCAATCTAGGGCCGGTGACTATATTCTGTTGACGTATCCCCTTCACCCCCTCTGGGGTTCAGATTTGTCCCCCGAAGTCCGTGTGTTGCAGACTCGATCCCTAATGCGATAGTGTGGGAGGTGGGGCCAATAAGAGGTGATCAGTCCAGGAGGGCTGCGTGAACGACTCATATCTCCAATGCAGGTTAGTTATCTCAGCAGTGGGTTTTTCTTTTTCTTTTTTCTTTTAAAAATACACTTGATCTTAGCCAAAAGGCCGAGAAGCGATTTTCTTTTAAAAATAAAAGGAGGAAAACATTAACAGAGACAACTTTTTACAAAATAGCAAAAGAACAGTACAGACAATACAGAGTTACAAAGTGGTAGGAAATTAACAATGCTTGTTGTGTTACATATTGATATCTTCAAAGAGCAGTGGGTTTTTCATAAAAGGAGGAGTCTATGCTCTTTCTCTCCCTCTCCCTCTCTCTCTCCTTCCTCTCCCTTTCTCTCTTTCCCTTTGTGATGCCCTCCATCATGACATAAGGTGCAAGGAGGCCCTCACTGGATACCACCCCCATCATCTTAGACTTCCAGTCTCAAGAACTATAAGCCATAAAACTCTGTTTACTATAAATCAGTCTGTGGTGTTCTCTTACAGCAGCACAAAACAGACTCAGGCATCCCTCCACTCTAGAACATTTCCACAGCCTTTCTTTGTTTTCTGTGATGTTGGTATTTCTGAAGAATACATTCTTCTTCCCTGCGTTTTAACAGAACGCTCCTCTGTGCTTCGATTACAGTCACACAGTCCTGGGTGGGTTACTGCAGCGGGCACAGCCTCCGGTCCTTACTGGTGATGCTAATTTTGAATCCCAAGTCTGGCTCACTTTTCCACTGTATAATTACTGGTTTTTTTCCTCCTTGTCATCAATAAGGAATCTGCGCCTAGATCTGAAGAGCAAGCAAATGCCCTGCTTGTCATCACAGTTTCTAGAACTCTGCATCTCCTGATGATTCCTTCCTAACTCACCCTTTCCAAGAGGGCAGGTGCGAGCAAAGGGAAGTCTGGGAAGAGACACATTTTGGAAAAAACCCAGGGATCAAAGACCACCTGGTGTTTTAAGGGAAGCTACAATGCTTCTGTCCCTCTGGATTTTCTGAGTGAAAAGGGAAAGAAGAAGCAATACAGAAGGAAACAGAGCCCAGACCAAAACTCCAGGAGATGTGGAGCTTGCACTCTCTCTGCAGGTATTGGCGGCCACTGCACAGCCAGGCGGGAGGCGGTGAGAGCAGTCAGAGTTCTTGCCAGCAACTGTGGCGGCATCCCTGTCAGCCTTCAAGCCACAGCTGGAGTTGCACACAGCTGGAGGGGAGAGAACTCAGGGATCGGGAGGCCACTGACGGGCACGTGACCAGCACTTTTCTGCTTCACAGGCACAGGAGGAGTTAAAGGCCTGAGCAGAGGAGCAGCCAGGTATATCCCTTTTTCCAGGAAGTCCTGCGAGTAAGACTGCCTCTCTCGGCACCTTGATGCCACCCGCTGGTACGGCTCTCCAGGAAGGACAAATACGTGCACATGGGGGGGGGGCGTAATTTCAGGAGGACCTACAGCAATGATAGAGGCAACGGTGTCTCCTTCTCCACACTTGTAAAGGCCCTGCTCAGAGCAGCTGAGCCTGCGGACAGAGACCCACCCAGGGCCTGACAGCAATGCCTGTGGTAGAGGGGTGAAGGAGGAAGCAGCCCTACAGCCCTCCGAGAGTAAAATGTCAGGGGAATGAGGTAGGCTCCAGCCACATCAGCTGAAGGAGAAGGTCAGTAGTATGTGTGAGCCGGGCATATAGCTCAGTGGCACAAGTGCCTGCCTGGCAAGTGCAAGGTCCTGAGTTCAATTCCTGGTACCGAGTAGTAGTATGTGTGCACTGGTGGCTGCCTTCATTTGCTCACTGGGGCACACAGTGGGTATTTACTGAGTTCCTACTACGTGCCAGGAATGACTGTGGGTGTGGGGGTGCAGGAGACGTCACAGGAGCAGTGCTCAGGGGTGCGGAGTTGGTGAAATGATATAGGACGAGCGGGTAGGCACAAGGTAGCTGGCACCACCCATCAGCTTGTTCTCCTGACTACTCTGCCTCAGTCCACTTCTACCCACCGCTGGCTGCTTCCTGAGATCACTGCTCTGAGATTCGTTGCTCAAGGCTACTCTCATCTTCCCTTTACTCCCATTTGCCTGTAGGAAAGTCAGATCTCACATCTCACTGTGAGGTCAATAGTGAGGCATGGGATCTGCTTTGGGGAAGCCCCCAGTGTCACAATACAGCCTGGGCCTTCTGCAATGTGGCCCAGCCCTTCCACACACACAGGACCTAGTGCACGATGGTAGGAGAAGCACATAGGGCCAGTGGAGGTGACCGAAGCTACCCCAAATCCAGTGTCTCACATCTCCTGCCTTGCTGCCCAGCTCTGCTGCCATTATACACACGTTGGTTGTATCAGCGTTTCCAATTACTGAAATATTTTCATATACATATTAATGTTGAAAATACATACTATGGCCAGGCATCATGGTGCATGCCTGTAACCCCAGCACTTGGGAGGCTGAGGCAGGAGGATCACCATGAGTTTGAGGCCAGCCTGGGGTACATAAGCAAGTTCCAGGCCAGCCTACACTACACAGGGAGACCGTGTCTCAAAAACAGAAACAAAAAACCCAACAAAGAAAATACATACCATATACAACAGATTAATAAGGAAGGAGCAGGAGCCAAATACAGCCAACAGAGGGCAGGATACTGTCTACCCTTGCTCTGCCCTGGGGTCTTCCTGAGCCACGCACTGTTTATCCACATGATTCATTCGGGTCCAGAACCTCAGGTCCTTCAAAATTAGGGCACTCCTCAGAGCTGTGACTCATCACTGCCGGCAATTGTAGAAATGCACCGATGAAATGCCTTCTCCAGTCTGCCTGGCATGGTTCTTACTCACTGACAAAAGTCCTGGGGATCAAAAATAATTTATTAGTAGCCAGCACTTTGGGAGGCTGAGCCAGAAGGATCACAAGTTTGAGCCTAACTGGGCAACTTAGTGACTGAGGGAGACCCTTCTTTCAAAATAAAAAATAAAGGCTGGAGATAAAGCTCAGTGTGAAGGGCCTGAGACTGATCGCTAGTACCATCAACATCAGTAAGTAAATAAATAATCCATGAGCAAGGTTGGGAGCATTTCATCAGCACTAGTAGCTCCTCTGTGCTTGTGAGTTGGGGCCTGCCGGGCTGCCTGGATCAGCCTAGGAGCTGGGATGCCGGTGTCCGTGCACATCTGCCTACAGTGTGGCCTTGTTTTGAGAGTGAGAAAAAAAACAACTCTTATTTCACAGGTGAGGAATGAAGCTCACAGAGGTTAAGAGTCTCACCAAGTGATACCCAGCCAGGGTCAGATAAAAGCAGCTGTCGCTCACTGAGCAGCTGCTGTCTGCCAGGTGTTGTGTTAGCATCCTATGTACATCATCTCCTGTTTAATCCCGTGACAGTCCTTTATTTTACCTCTGTTTTATAAATGAAGTCTTGGAGGCTCAGAGAGGTTAACATTTGCTCTAATACCAGAGCTGGCAACCTGCAGAGCCAAGTCTGGTCCCAGTACATGGACATTGCCTCCTGATTCTCCATTATAACGCTACTCCCCAGAGCCCGAGGGAGAAAGGTAGCCATGGACTGAGCAGACCCAAAAGACCTTCACTGCAGACTTTCTGCGATCTAAAAAAGTTAGCTGACACTGTGAGAAGGGACTTCCCTTCCTTGGAAAAATATCCATACATTTTGTTATGCATGTGTGGGGACTGACCTAGGGCTTCACTCATGCTAGGCAAGTGTTCTACCACTGAGCTACATCCCCAGGCCTATAAATTGGAAATGCATGACAATCAAATTTAAGTCAATCAATCAAGGCAGCAGGTTTTTCTGCCCAGGGAATAAAATGGCCCTGGAAAGGCCTTAGAAGGGGAGGGGGTCCCTCAGTCCTATGGACCCTTTACCCACCTACGCAGTGTTGGAAAGTCATACTAGGTATTCCCAGCTGTCCTCTGCTGTTCCTGCCCACTCTTCTCCCGGAAGGAACCATGGAAGATGTCCCCCACCCCGTGGCATAGAGTAGATCTTCAGTGGGTTTAATGAATGAGTCCCCAAGCTTCACATGTCCCCGCGAGGCTCACTTTCCCACAATGTCCTTGTAAAAACTGCCTGCAGCGCCCCTACACAGAGCAAACGGGGGGCTGCAGCCCCAAGCACACAGCCGCCACATCGCTGTATCCAGCTTTCACTCACCAGGGTGACATAAGGCCAGTTTTCTGGCCTAGACAGGCCAGCCAGGTGGGTGGCCTTTTGTTAAAGCGACAGCAGACCCCCCAAATAATCCACAGCTGGTTATGGTATGGGTTACAGATTAAAGACTGGTGCCCACACTTAATGAGGTGGGTGACAAAGAAGTCCCCTGTGAGCAAAGCTACTTGAAACCCTGTCTGGAAGCACAGCCCCCCAACCCCCGGTACCTGACAATGAACCCAGTCATCTAAAGCGACAGGAGGTGATACTGTCAGGCCCAGCCCACAGGGGCTCCTAAGGGAGTTCCTTTCCTCCCGCTGAGTGAGGTTTGGCAGGGAAAGGGGCCTTGAGGGGGGCCGCCGCCCTGTGTCTGCTGGGGGTCTGGGAGATTTGTGGAATGTGTGGGGAGAAGCTATCCCCACTGTATCCTTGGCACATCACAGACCACATCGCAGCCCCTGGTACCTCTCTTCCTGTCTCAGCTCCAGAACTGCTGCCCCGTGCTCTCTCAGGGCTCTTGTGGAGATTAGAACTCACGACCGTCAGTAACACAAGCCTGTGGGCCGTAGATGTGCATGCAACTAATGTTTAAAACCCGGTGGGATTTTCTTTTCAGGGACTGGTGTGGGCTTCCCATCTTGTAGCCCTGGGCTACAACATTTTCCTCCCAGGTCAAAGAAAGGAAATGACACAGGAGAAATAAGGGCAAACTGTACTCACCCGCGGGGTTGCCATGGGTTTACACACTTCCTTTGAAACACGGCAAATGATGATAGCGACGACCCAAAATGTTAAGTCCAAAGCAGTTTTGTGGAAATGATCTGCATTGGTCCATGTCACAGTGTAATAATGCAAACATCTGTTCCTGGAGACTTCAGTGGAGCACATGCTTTCGTCCCCTATGAATCTTGAAGAATCTCGTCCATCTACAAAAAATAATGAGGGGTTGAGTACAGAGTCTTTAAAATTCAGGTATCTCTGATGGATCTCTTTAACCACCAATTGCAAACATTGGTAGAAACATCAATTTACAAAAAGCAATGACATCCTTAATTGGAAATAACATCAGACCTAATGAAGTAGCAGCCAACTGAACGGTTTATTAGATCCGTTTTATAAATGAGGACATTCTGGTTCCTTCAAACCCTTTATTTTCATAAAGCAGCAAGATAGACGAGACCTAAAAAAAGAATGACATGCTGCTAATCCCGTCTGAAAGACTGCTCCCTAAGAGACAGGGCACTGTGACAGCAGCCCTCAGCTGTGGCACCCAAGCAGAAAGGGAGGATGAAGTTCCCACCCGACTCTCCCAAACGCCGCCAACAAGCTCAGTACTTTTGCTCGGTACTTTTGCCCGGCTTTACTTATAAGGAATGAAGTGTCCACTAAAGCCACCACGAGGTGCCACTCCCCACCATGCTATTTGGCAAGGATCAACGAGTTTGGGATTTTAGTGAGTGAGGAGGGAAACAGCTAAGAATATACTGTCCACGAAAGCACACATCGATGCCACTTCTTTAAAGGAGAACTTAGCACGACCTGCCATCCTCACCCTAGGCAGGGTGACATATAAAACACAACTTCAAAATTCACTGGATGGTGTCTGCACAGTGTAAATGTATAGGAAATGATCAGAAGGGTCTACACCAAAGCACTGGGAACAATCGTTCCCTGTGAAAGAGGTACAGGGAAAAGTGGCCACAGGGTAGCTATGAGGGAGTGTTGGTAGCAGGTGTGGGAAGTTTCCTTTCCACTTCATACCCTGACTTCTCCATGAGCAGATTCTACCTTGATAAGTTTTTGCGTGCGTGTGTGTGTGTGTGTGTGTGTGTGTGTGTGTTATGTGCACACGCGCGCGTGCACTGAGGATTGAACCCCTGACCTTGTGCGTACTAGGCAAGTACTCTACCACTGAGCTATATTCCTTGCCCTCTTTTTTGCTGTTATTGTTTATTGAATGTTGAGAAAGATCTCACTGAGGCCCAGGCTGGCCTTGAACTTGTGATCTTCCCACCTCAGACTCCCATCTAGCTAATATTACAGACACGTACCATCGTGCTCAGAAACTTAAAAGTTCATATTTAAACCTCTTAAAGTTCAAGTAGCATTATTTGAAAAAAATTTTTAAAGGCAGCTTAATTGCTTTCTCAAAAAATTTGAGTTAAAAGCAGTGTGTAAGATAAGGAATAAGCCTCCCTGGGAGCAAAAGCAAAGAGGAGAGAGATGATATAATGGTGACGGGGAGAATTTCTCTCTTTCCATATATTTTCTTTAAGATTGTAAAAGAAATTTAGCATAAAAGTCAGATCACAGAGAAAAGAAAATCATGTCATTATACACAACTGCAGAACAGCTAACCCAGCAACTGTCAGTATTTTCCTTTTAAGAATGCACATACATTGAGCTCTGGGTGTAGTTCAGTGGTAGAACAACTTCCTAGAATGTGGGAGTCCCTAGGTTCAATCTCCAACACCACAAAAAAACAAAACAAAACAATATGTGTATACACACAAACACATTTTAAATGGTGGTAATCATGGCGCATGGTAAACTAACCTTTCACTTTTTTTCATCTCTTTTGAGACAGGATCTCACTACACGGTTCAGGCTGGTCTTGAACTGACTTTGTACCTAGGCTGGCATCGAACTTGCCATGATCCTCCTGCCTCAGCCTGACCCCTCTCTCCCCCCAGTGCTGGGATTACAGGCGTGCGCCTCCACGCCCGGTTTAACCCTCCACATTTGGACATAACAGTTCTTTCTGTTACTGTGTGCTCTTCATAACTATCATTATTATAGCTGAATTATATTCCACAGTACAGGCTACTTCATCCTCAACTGTGTCTTGTTGTTGGATATGTACTTATATTTTCATTGTAAGGATCACAATCCTAAGAGACATACCTTTCCTTGAAAATTGCTTTCTTTCATACATTATATAGCTCCTTTAGAATAATTAAATGTCGAATTACTGAATTAAAAAATGAGTTTGTCTTTGTTTTTGTTTTTGAGATAAAATGGATATCCCAAGGAGTTGTATAGTGTGGCCGGCTATGCAAGATGACAGTTTCACCACACTCCTGCCAGCAGCAGGTGTTACAAAGTCTCACGGCGCCTCCTCCCTGCTGCAAGCAAACACACTCCCAGGCCCGTCCTGGGTGTGACCCGACTGTGGCTCACGCTTGCTCTGCATCAGTGGGGGTCATGACAGTAGCCCTGCTGTTCCACTCCAGGCTGCTGAGTGATAAAAGGCACGAAGGAAATTAACTAACAGTCATTGCTCTGTGACATTCTGTGGACACGCTTTCAAATTTCAGTCCAGGTAACTACCTCAGTGGCTGTCAAGAAGGGCGATTTGCCACCCAGAGCACATTTGGCAACCTCTAGAGACATTTTTAATAGTGGTGAATGGGGTGGGGGCGGAGAATGGAGACCAGAGATACTGTTAAACATCCCAGGAGAAGCCATTCCCCGCTTCCCACAAATTATCTAGACCAACATGTCAGCAGTACTGATTCTGAGAAGTCCTTTTATATCCGTATAACATTCCTACATTTAGTTACGAACTTTTAAAATACTTTCTTTTAAACCTCTAATTGTGTCACAAAATCCACCTTGAGCTTGTATGTATAGATTTAACATATAGCACTGGGTCAGTCTTTAGCAATACTGATTTTTCACACCCAAAGCTCCAACCTGCAGCAAGAATATGTCTTTGCCGTGGTGATTATGTTTTGAGCGACTGATTCAGTAGACTAAACAGTTTATCCCTAAGTGGGTGTGTGCCACATGCCTGTGATCCCAACTACTTGGGAAGCTGAGACAGAAGAATAAAAAGATCAAGACCACCCTAGTCAACATAGTGGGATGCTGTTTCAAAAATAAATAAAATTTTTAAAAAAATTAAAAAGGGCTGGGGATGTAGCTCAGTGGTAGTCGCCTGTGTTCAATCCCCAGTATAGCAAAAAAAAAAAAAAAAGTTTAGCCCTATATTAGGGGCCCCCAACTAATCGCTTGATTTGGAGTAACGCTGACTGCATCCTGAAAGCTGCCCGCTCCAAGCCAGCCGTAAACAGGTATCCCGGACTACATCCAGTGTCCTGGGGCGCGGGACGCGTCCTGTCTTTCCTGGGGCTGTGCGCCCCGCGCTCAGGGTCCGCTCCCAGCCTCCCTGGGCAGCGTGCGGCGGCCGTTCCCGCTCTCCGGTGCGCCTGAGGCTCCCACCGCCTCCCCAGCGTCCTCCCGGGCGAGGCGCGCTTCCTCGGAGCCGCGGCGCGCGTTGCAATGACCGCTCCAAGCCGCTAGGTAGGAGGAGCCGGAGCGCTCTCCGCGCGCGCTCGGCGGCGGGACGGCGGTCTCGCCCGCGGCGGCGCGCCTTCGCGGGTCCCTCGGGCAGACACGTGCCCGGCCCTGGAGAGGCGAGGGTTTTCCTTCCCGCCGCGTCAGGAGGGCGCTTCTCTCCGCCGCGGTCCCGGGCCCTGTGGGCGCCGCTGCTCCCCACTCACCCGCGGGGCGCGGCGCGGGTCCGGGCTCGGCCTGTGGGGCTCTTTCCACTCCTCTCCTCCCGCTGCTTGCACGCTCTCGCCCGCCCGCCGCAGGTCTCTCGCGCTCAGCGAGACAGCAACTCCCTCGGCCCCCCGGGCGGGCGCGCCTTTCCCGCTCCGCCGCGCGCCGCCTCCGTGCGCTGCAGTTCCGCCCGGCACGGCCAGGGGGCAGCAGAGCCACCCGTGCGCTCGCGGGGCTCCGGGTCCGGATTTGCCCTGCACCGGCCGCGCGACCTCGCGACCTGGCTGTATCAGGGTGTCGCGCCCCGTCCGCCTCTTACCCTCCCGGCGTGCTGGTGGCCCTGGAGGACGAGCGGAAGGAACAGAGACAGCCTAGTAAGGAGGGTGAGCCACTCGAAGCGGGGCTTAGACGGCGAGGATGCCACAGGTACTTGAAGACTGCGAGGTCGCCTGTAGAAGAGGGTTAAAAGGATTCCGTCATTGCGAAGAGGCAAGACCGAGAGTGCAGCCTCAGGGAGGCAGAGCCGCGCCCATAGAATAAACCTTCCAACGGCCGCAGTCGGAGCCCGGAAACAGGCTGCTTTGTGCGGCTGTGTGTGGCCCGTTGTGAGAAAGCATCGAGTAGGCAGGCAGGAGTCCCCAACTGCAAACTTCTCAGAAATGCCCCAAACTCTCCGACAATGCAGATTCCTGCCTGCCCCACCTCCCAAAGACTCTGAACCCGTAGCCCTGGGCTTGGGCCCGGGAATCTGCGTGTTAGATTCCGCCAGGTCTGCTGCGGGTGCTCCGTGCACCACGCCTGGAGAAGCCGTGGAGTCATGCGACATGAAAGGCACCCTCACTCTGACATGCTAAGCTTCTTGTTGCTGTTCCCTGCCCTTCCCTGGCCCTGGGAGTGATAACTTTTAACCATTTGACCATTTCCTGTTTACCAAAAAAAAAAAAAAAAAAAAGTGCACCAGTGTTCATTTAATTTTCAGCAATTGGTAACTATATCCTATAAGTGAAAATACCACTACTAAAAACAGACTGCTATAAACCAAATGAAGTCTTTTGTTTCCGAAGACTGCCCATATACTAGAGCAGTGCAAAAATAATGATAAAAGTCAGATTTTTGTGGCAAACGTTGCAGGTGAAGTTAGGGTTGTAATCCTTGGATCATCTCACAATAAATGTTATCGCTGTATTTCCGGGCACACGGGAAATGGGTAAACTGTGCCTAGCTAGGCCTCTTTACTGCTTGGCTGCAGTCCTGGCCCTGGCAGTCCCCAAGCCTGAGTCCAGCTGACCACCTCACATCCCTCTGTGCGGAGGGACCTTTCGGAGGACAGGGCGTACAGCAGGTGCATTCACCTTCTCCCAAACATCGGCCCACTTCTCACGCCGAGAAAATCACGGGAGGCGCAGTGGAGAGGCTGTGGGCAGTGAGGGAGGGCTTAAGGACTCCCTACTGCGGCGGTGGGGTCTGGGGCCAAGCCTTTGAGCGTGTTTCTACCGAAGGGTTAACACAGACGAAATGCCAGGCCATCGCGTCGCCCTCCTGGGAGGTCAGGGAGTGGCTCACCACTGTAGCTGCTCCTGGTGCTACAAAATATCACAAGATCAAACATTTTTCCCCCAAATGAGACAATGCACATGTAAGTGGAGAAATGGTGGGAAGAGGTCAGAAAGAGCAGGGGTCTTTGGATAGTGATGAAGAGGCTGCAATACTAGTTCTGTCCCTTAATAAAGCCGAGGGAATTTGATACAGAGAATTAGTTGGAAAAGCTGAGAAATCAAACAGATGCGATGATGTTGGTGATGATGATAGGTAACCCAGAGATTAGCCACTGACAGTGCAAGGAGCTGCTGTTTCAGGGGCAATGAGTAGAAAACCACTCTTGAATTGCTGTCTAAAGCAAGGCAGGTGATACCCATGTGCCTGTTTCACAGATGGGTAGCATGAGGCACAGAGAGATTAAGTGGCTTCACAAGGTTGCATGCTAATTGAGTGTGTGTAGTACCCACCTTTCTGTTGCTGAAACAAAATTCCTGGTATAGCTGGATGTGGTGATGCACACCTGTAATCTCAGTACTCAGGAGGCTGAGGTAGGAAGACTGCTGCAACTTGGAGGCCAGCCTGAGGCTACATAGTGAGTTCAAGGCCAGCCTGAACTATA